GAAATGCCGCTGGCCCACCAACCCGGATATTGGCTTTTCGTCCTCTCACTTTTGTGGGAAAACACCGCCATGAGAAGGGCTTCCTCAGCAGAAGCTATTTGAGACGCTTGATCTTATAAGAGCATTTCGCGAGGTGCAAGGGGAGGGTGACCAACTGCAACCCTGGACACCCACCATTGACGATACTGAGGCTTTTGGAGGCGTTCGTTGATATCTCTGTTGTTAGGAAGTTGCAAAGATTTATTTGCTCTTGTAGAATATTTCCGTGGAATCATTTTGAAACACCGTTTGTTGCGTAAATGTCGACCAAATGCAGTTCTGACGCACAAAAAGCCAAGTTTTTTGAAATTCACGGAACTCATTCGGTTGAGCTGATGATCTGATGCAGTTGTTCTTTCAGTTGGTTTTAAGACACAAGTGGGAAAACTGAACTCGTCGGAAGCTTACCCAGGTGGTCATTGTGCTCTGTCCTTCCAGCAGACAGATAATGGCGACCGAGTTCTTCAGTTCTGCGTAGATTATCATCTCTTCGTATCCATTACCAACTTCCAACACAGTTCTAGACGGATAGCAGCGTTGCACTCCAATTCAATTGATACGCTAATTCAAATGAACCACATAGTAGTAGACTGTTGACGTAACTCTGAAAAATTACAGGTCCTATTGGATCACCTGCGCTGAATCTGACCGCGCATTAGTTTTGATGCAGTCACTCTCCAACTCAATGATTGCGGAAAACCCCACCAAACTCGGTTGGCAGATCACCGTTTATCTGACCCAGCTGTTCTTGTCTGTTTTGAATCAGAACTAGAGCAAGGGTTGAACGCGCTGCAGCGTGGTACTGTAGATGAACAGTGGGATCAAATTGGACGAGCGATGCACTGTGCAGCGACTGCTGCTTGTGGATCTGAAGCGGTAGCACGTCCAAGGCATTAGGTATCTAATGGGTCAGAAGCACGGGTAGAGAAAAAGCGGCAAATGCCGACCGCCCGAGTTCAAAGCATGGGTGGGTGGCATCTGCAATGCCAGTTCACGGTGAGCCTCAAGAAGGACCATGAGAACTGTTGGTCAATAATAACTAATGAATAGGGAATAGTCAAAGAATATTCCGAATGATACGCATTACGGGAGGTCGGTGGACCATGGTAAAGCAATCTGCGGCTAAAGTGGACAAACCATTCACTGTGTGAAATAACGGCTTGGCCGGTGGGCGGAGTACTTCAACAAACAGTTCCACTCGCCAGGCGCTAACCAGGCTTTATCGTGTGTTGTAGTTGAGGCTCCGTGGGCAGTGTTATGTGAATCTCCTACTGAATTAGAAGTTCGATCTTGCATCCAGAAAGGAAAAGCAGCAGAACCTGACGGGCTTCCATTCTTTTCAAGATAGAGGGAGGGGGTGGCCTCGTAGACTATTGCTGCGTGACCAACGACGGTAGTGCATCAAAGGAGATAACCGCCCGCATTTCCAAGGCTCAAGCAGCGTA